GGGAAAGAGCGTTTTATTCCCAAGAAGATTATGAGGTACCATATTCAATAACACAGGATGGTCAGTCTTGAGCAAAAAGGCCCAACTAGTTCCTGCATTTGACAAGTTGTCAGCACCAGATACCCGACAGGTGCAGAAAAGCCCTGCAAGAAGCTACACCCATACGTGCACAGAGTTTTCTTCCTCATCCCCTAGCAGTCAGAGGTTGGTGTAGCCCCAAAATATGAGTTTACATCCAATAGATCCAATTCTTAGTCTGAATGTTTTTTAGCATTTGTAATAATCGCCTGCACGCATCATGAAGAGAAGGAATCGTGTTGGCTCTCATTTTATTAAGAAGGACAATAATGCTATTTGCAACTAAATTCATACAGTCAGGCCGGTACTTTCATTGCTAGCGATGCACAGTTAAATTTCAAGAGTTGAACTTATACATGCTGATGCTGAGTGAACGGTACCTAACAGAGTCTTTCATTGCTGGAGATATGACATGTGCATTCATCTCTTCTAAAGAAAACCTTCTGAAATAGAGCTCTTAAAACAACCGTAGCAGCAAACCAGTAGAATAAAAGGTGACAGGCCTATGCAAACCTACTCAGAGATTTTCTGAAGTGATTTGTACACATCTGGAAAAAAAAAAAAGGCAAAACAAGATAGACATTACTGTTCTTTTTTGTGATAGGGTTTGCTAACACCCTCTGACCAGAGGTACCATCGTAAACTTTACAAACAGCCCTCACACAGGTATTTGCAGGAGTACACAGACCTAGCTTGGCTCCCACGAAGACTACAATTGGGAGGGCGACTGCAGCACACGACTTACCTGTCCTATTCATCTCTGATTCGGCAGCAGAGCCCTGACAACACAGGCTTCAGCTGACTGAAAAAGCTCACCCGCTGCCACGTGACTTTTCACGAAGCACTTTGCAGTTGCATTGCTCAGGCAGAGCTGCCTCCGGCTCACGGCACTGGCACAGTCAGGCCCGTACCCCCGAGCCAGAATTGCTTCTGCTGGCTAGAAGGGTCACAGATGGACTCAGAGCTGGTGTGACTGCTCCCAACCCTTCATGCAACTAACATTCCGAGGTACCAGCTGTTCAAGCGTCTTTCCAGAAAGAGGAAAGAACTCTTGAAGTCTGTAAATGCTTTAGTATTTACAGTGTCATTTTCAGGAATGTCGTAGTTTCTGTTTCAAGGATTGAATAGAGTCACTTCTACTAATTGATTAAAAATCAGATGAGAATTTTGCAGCTTGCAACAAAGTTTGTCTTTTAAGCATGGTAGCACTTCCCCCAAATCTTTATACTGCTACTGTAACATTTTACGGGAAGTTCTCTTTTAGCTTTTCTTTTTAACCAGAGAATTGAGAAATAAAAGTGGTAAATATTCTAGTTCCTTTATATTAGATATTCACAGATACATTTGATTCTGTTCCTGAAGTCCAACAAAATTAATGGAAAAACTTAAAAGGATCTGAAAAACCTCCATCATTGCTATAGAAGTGGCTGCAACTGCATCAGCCTTCGCTCCCAGCACAGACTGCATTTTTACGATCATTCAGCATCATCCTATAACTTACATAATACCATTAACATACTAATATGATTTTCTGGCTGGTACTGCAGTACTCCTGCAATATTCTGTCCAGAAGGGTAAATTAAAGACAAGCTTTTGCTAGTTCAGTTAGCAGGACTGTGTCAGGATTTCTGACCCCACCCAGAGACACGCTTTGCTTCACTTCCCATCCAACCTGCTCTCTGCTCGTAAATAGGTGATCTGCTGTAACGTTCCACCGATGTGAACCACGCTGCGTATCTGAGGGCAGGAGTGCCATGCTTGTTACTTAAGACAGATTTAGATGCCACACTAGCTTAGCTGTTTCAAGCAGCCTACGCTGCTGAACAACAAATTTTCCAGCAGAATAATAACGCTGCTTTCAACTATTGCCACACGAGAGAACACAAGGATAAGAGATCTGCCATTCTGTTAGCTGTTTCAAGCAGCCTACGCTGCTGAACAACAAATTTTCCAGCAGAATAATAACGCTGCTTTCAACTATTGCCACACACAAAGCAGTCAGTCTCCACAGGAGAGAACACAAGGATAAGAGATCTCCCATTCTGTGCTTTCTGCCTTGTTATGGATATGAAGTAAGAAGAATGTACAATCCATGTTCCTCTGTCAAAGGTTAATAAAAGCCGACAGAGGGGCTGAGCTCTTCGCACTCTTCTGCATCTCAACTGACCCTGTATTTGCCAACATAAACACAAAACTACTGTACTGTGGCAAAATAAAACAAGACCCCAGACTTTCATCTGCAGCAGACAAGGCACTGCAGTGTTTAATAGTGAATCCAAGACACTGAACTGATCAAGCTATAGGGTTTGTTTACATAGACAGTCCCACTCCTCTCTTCCTACTGTCCATAAATCCCAATGAGAATGGTTCAGTTTTCTTTTAAATTGGATGAGGCAGCTTGTTTCACACCAAGAACTCTGAAGTCTAGGAAACACAACAATAATCTGAAGGATTAAGTGACTGAAAACACACATAAATAATTTAACAATGGACTTCAAACATATCCTGATTTGAAATGGGACTAAAATCTTTTGATTTCTCAGTGTATTACGTTACCAGGTGTTCATGGTGCCAGCATATATTCTATCCGGGATTCCCCTGTAGCACTGCTTACTTACACAACACACCTATTTGTGAGTTAAAAGCAATAACGGAACAGAAGATTGCCGAGTCTAAGCTCTGAACGTCTCTACTGATCTTGTGTTAAAAAGATTAAACCATTGGTTATGATCATCTGAAACAGCAAATACATCTTCTGAAATGTATCGAGGTGGGAAATAATAGAGGACCTGTCTTAATGTTTTACCGATTTATCGAGGACCACAGAGTGCTGTGTAGACAGGTTTTGGCAAGATCTCTCCTTTCCCTTCCAAACACACTAAGTAAATGACGACCAGGTTTCAACCCAAAAGGTCCACAGAACACATTAGGCTCTGGAAAAGCTACCACACTGAGACACAAAGCAGCAGTCTAAATATTTCCTATATAACATTCCACTGAATCAGTCTGGGACAAACACCTGACTTGTAAATGTGTCTGAGATGCCACCTGGATATCTGAGGAGAGCCCATGTTATTCCAAATGGCTTTGTGTTTCCTGCGCTAAGTTGGGCGTACAATGGCAGCGACAGTTGAACAAACACTGTCTAGGAAAGACTGCATTTCCCCTCCAGTTTTACAGTCTACCACACTATCCTTCTCTGATCAATAAAAAGCACGTTTTGCAGTACAGCAAGCCATATTAGTCCATGTATGGAACAATGCACCTTGTGGCATTATACAGACTTTAAAAAGGCTCCATCTGCAACACAGAGCAGTTTCAGGGTTGGATATCTCTGTGAAAGCAAATAAAGTAGTAATAATAATAGTATTAAATATAAGTCATAGCACCTTTGGCATTTTTGTCCAAATAAACTTCAACATATGACGTAGGGACATAGCCCTCCTCATCTTCGTTCCTTCGGATTCGTGTCCACCCATCACCTTTGTCTTCTTCTATTACATAGAGCATTTCTCCTTCTGCTACAGAAATTGTTCCTTCATTCTGACCTGAAAGACACAGTAACAGAGAGTTTAGGCTGTCCTGTGCAACGGGAACCACAGACGCAGTGGGGAGGTGCTCAGGGCACACTTGGACAATGTGCTGATGCAACCTTCGTTGCATCACTACCAGCGTGAACAAGAACACGTGACTCTGAAGACAACAGTGTGTACATGAAGAACCAAATGACTCTGATCCTGACATCAGAGGGTTTGTTTGGGGGTTTTTGGGAGGCTTTTCGTTTTCGGTGTTTTGGGGTTTTTTTTCCCCTCTTGCAGAGTCCATGCATAATGGGAGACAAATCACTGTCTTAGTGCCTCTCTAAGAAACAGAATGATGCCAGAGCCTCACTAGACCCTTCTTTGTCTATTTAAGCACTGCAGGGGTTACATCAAGGTTTTCCACTTGTCCTTGGCATATGAACTAAACAAAGCAGTAAGTGAAATGAGAGTAAAGGTTGAGTGATACCTTCAAATGTATAGAGCGCTTTACATGTTCCTATGGTGGGTAGTGGTTCTTCATCATCAAATTCATCATCGAAATCCGTTGCTGGTACTTTCATCTCAGTCTCCTGACTTTGCTCTTCTGTGTAACTGCCATCTGGGCTGCTCAAGAGAGGAAAATACACAGCAACTATAGCGACCAGTCTCAGGAGCTAAGAGAATGGCCTGGTTACCAGACACGTAAGGCAAGGTGAGCAACGGTAGCTGGAGCAGCTCAGCAATTCCAAAGCATGCTCAGAACTGGCTGTTACACTAGCAGCTGTCACAAAGCGATGGGCAAGACCAGTCATTTTTCCCATCAAAAGCTGTAAAAACCACACCTATCTCACTCACCTTCACAGCAGTGAGTGTAGGGGGTTATTACACATTTCATCATATTCAGAAAAGTAGCTCCTTAAGTTGGGATCTTACATATGCTAAAATCAGTATGTGAAACACTTTGTGGAGACCTTTAGTCTGGTTACAGAATGAGTTTCTGAATGCTGCAGAGCTACAGTTTTCCTGATTAACAAGCTAAGGAAAGTAGGTTCAATTACCAGTCTGAACAGGACAGCTCTGTACAGATACTGTACCTCTCCCGGTCCTGCGCACAGCTGTTCACTGCTGAAGTGTTCTGGGCTTCATACAGTCCGCTCTGCCGCCGGGCCTGTTCAGTCCGCATGGGTAACCTGCCCTCCACGTCAGCTAGCCAGCCCTGCAAGGCGAAAGCAGTTTCATGCATCAGTTTGCAAGGGGATATATGCTGCTCTTACTTTGCTGCGTCATATTTGGCATTCAGACTATGGAACTAAAACCAGATTGTAAACATATTTAAATTTTCCTTTGGGCTGCAGCTGTCAGGGGGAATAGATTCTGTACTTTAAGTGTATATTTAATCTCAGTCTTGCCAAAAACCACACTTACTGAAAACTCGATTCTTTTTTGACACTGGGTGCTGAAAACACTGTGACCCAAGAGAAGCAGTTAACAACAGCTGTTGGGAGATGCTGCTGCTCTAGTCACAATAAAGTAAAAAGATGTGTGGCAGCTTATAATAGTCAAATGGATAAGCAAGCAATGGATAGTAAAGCCAACAACTGTAAGAAACATCTAAAATTGACAGACTGTATCTATTTATGTACATAGTGTAACTTAGAGTGAAGTCTTTTCTCAGCCCTACAATCCTTCTTGTGTAATTATAATGGCTTCATATGTTCCAAATACTCCTTATGCTCTTGAGATTTTGTATCTCTAAGAAGCTTCCTGTTAATGGCAGACTATTCCTTAAAACACATTTTATCTGAAGGCTTCTGTCTTGCTGTTAGACTACAAACAGTGCTTTACATTTACGTTCCTCTGATTTTCCACAGACATCTGTAACATGATGCTTCAAATTATTTTATTAATTAAATAAGCATCTGAACCCCTCTGGGCAGTCCAGAGAGCACTACATTTTCTCTCAACCACCACTTAGCACAATTTCTTCTCTGTGGCAAATTAAACAGCAGGATTGCCGCCTGACTGTCACAAGAGATGGTGCATATTTCTCTTACACAAACAGGCTCAAAGATCTCAATTAATGCAAGTGCTTAAGTAGCTCTTACCTATACGTGGTAAGAAAATGCAATACATCTGGAAAAGCAATGAAGCATCTGCTTAGAACTGAGCATATGCTGATCACATTTTACTGAAATGTCTCTTTCCATACCTCAAATTTCTGAGCTTCTAATCGTAACTTCTCGATGTTCTGTCCAAGTTCTGCTAATCTGTGGTCCACACTCGCTGCATCTCCCATCTGTGGGTTCTTGATATACACATCTTTCATTTTTGTTAAGGCATCTCTGAGAGACAGAAGAAAAATAAAACATGTAAGTGTTGGTGCAGCTAACAAATGGGGTCAAATGTCTTTCTCTAAATAAGGGCAAAGAAAAGAATAATAAACTGTCTCTTCTTTACTCTGTGGTTCAAGCCTAATTGGTTACAAAGGTAACTGAGAACATCCAGACAGCGGCTTTTGCCCTGTATAGAACAGCCATTAAAAAACTAACAGTAAAATCACTTGCGAGAAGAAAATTTACACTGTCAGAGATAAAAAAAGCAAGCGATGCCTTTACCTACACTGTGACACAACAGAGACCTTGTACACAAGCCAAACTCTTCAAGCCCCTGCATTAAAAGGAGCTCCTCGCTCTACAGGCAGCTGAGCGTTCTTCATGTGAGCAAGGCTGGCAGGAGGAGCCTCACCAGTGGATCGTGAGGCACAGGAGACGTGTGCTTGTCTCGACACAACACATTTAGACTGAATTATTCAAGCTCCATGTGCTCCGCTTGAAGAATCTTAGCAAAAAAAGACTGAATTCTTGGACAGTGGCCTTTTGCAAGGCAAAAGGAGGAATTTGGTATTGACTTTTAGCCTGACATGTTCTTTTATTTAGTACTATGATTTCTACTTGCTAACCCGGGACGGGGCGGG